ATCTACTCTTTCTCAGTTTTACAAAACAAACCGTCCATCCAATGTAAAAAAATAATTAGTCGATGAGAGGTCTAGAGCCGAGCCGAGCCAAGCCGAGCCTACGAGCCTATACGAGCCAAGCCAAGCCTATACGAGCCAAGCCGAGCCTTAAGTGATATCATCCATTCATTGTGTTAAAGGGCGGAACAGGTTAAACAAGTTTGATTTTCGTATGAAAATAGGCAAGCTGTTCACATCCAATACATAAACTATTTATTGCTAGTCTGCAGGAATGACAAATTAAGAATGCTAGTTTGGTTTACCTACCTGCTTCGGGATGCTCTACAGTTGCTTCAGGAGTCCACGGTCCAGCTTTTACATAACCACGTTTTTCCAAGCAAAACAGAAACCCGCCATCTCCCACAATGACCTCTCCAGCATCCAGACGTTCGAGTAGTCCTCGTGGCTGACAAAAATRATAAAAATATGTAACAATAAACTAAGGGAAACGTTAGGAAAGACTACCTTTTACTTTGTTGGTCATAAGTAAGTTGTCAGAATTCCAAATTATGGACTATACGGTAGTGGAAATGCACTAAATTTGGCTTTGAAATTGTACGAAGTCACGGAATTCTTGGACTTGAATAATGAAATTAAGAGGAAATTATTTTCAATAACGAGCAATTGTGGCAAAAAGCGCCAAAAACTAGACTTTCGTATGAGTTTTGATCCTAATTTTGATCTAAGAATAGGTAAGTGCTATTGTTATGTTTTTAATCCAAGGAAAAAACATTTCTTGCGTGACACAAAGATTTGTTTGTGTCACGCATAGTTTAAGCTTATATTTTCGGTTACATTTAGTGATGATTATCGAGGAAAAAGCAATAATCTAATAAGCAATSGACGGCATCCACTTAGCATTATTCTATCAATGCAAAAGGGTCGTTTTTTGATCGATGTTCTTGCAAAATCCAAGCGACTGTCTGCCGGGTATCTAGCAATTTGAGAATTGGTCCCGGGWGTCAAGTACGGATATCTGCATGCAAACATACCTTGATTTCTAAATTAATTACYCTTTACTCGCAAATACAACACACAAGCAAGTGTTATTGATTTGTCTAAATTATGTAAACTTTCCTTTATTGAGTTCTTGCCCACCAGGTATTTGTTATTCTATAAATCGCGTCTGTGTGAATTCCACGGCCGTGTTTCACAGATTCAATTTCCATGTTTAATCGTGTTTACAGTCGCAGTGCAGTTTGTTTCGAGATCTTTGTGAATTTTAAAGACATCGGATAGAAGACATCGCTACTTTTCTGTACTTCTCGTGTGTTTCGTGAAAATCGTCCCCGGGTCCCGGGTATCTAGACACTTCGTTTTTTTAAACAGTTAGAAACTGATGTACTATGATAAAATGCTTGTTTGAAGTGGCATTTTCAATTGTACAAAGATGTTTTGTTGCATTTGTGTTAVAATAGAGCTTTGTCATGCTTTTTTATCAACAAAAAAAAGGGAAATAAGCAAATGAAGGCCTAAACCTCATTTTCGATTCAAATTTTTGCTTTATGTTAACACTTTAATCGGTGAACTCCACCTCCAAACAAGTTAAACTTTCTGAATAACAAGATTTTAGCCTTGTACAACAGCCTTTCTTCAAGAAAATAGGTTTTGGCGCTCACGCCTTGAAACGAAAATATTTCTCTCTTAACAAATTGTACTTTACCTTGGACATTTTCTTTAAGCTGGGATGTTAATCGTATACCTCTGATAAAAATCTTAGCAGCAGCAAGCAATTGTGGAAAGGAAATAAGTAACTTGGAGATATTAGCATGTACTTGCTATCTTGTAATTCAAGTATAAATAAAGTTATTGTATTGTATTGTAAGTATTCAAACGAGCATTATTTAACAGATCAAAAACAGATCAAAACACGCGGGATGTTGAGAGAACACGAGAGGAGCGTAGGAAACCACTCCGCTACGCGTCATGCTTTCCAGCTTCTCGAGTGTTCTCTCAACATCCCAAGTGTTTTGATCAGAGTATCAAACACGGAAAACTGTTTTTGATCTGTTTGATAAAATAAAAAACACGCCGAAAAGCAAAGAAAATATCGTATTATTTTGATGTATTTGTAAATTCTTACTACATTGCGATTTTGCAAAATCTAGCCAATCAGCACACGCCTTTTGAGACACGTTGGGTTCATTACATGAGAATCGTTTAGTGATCGACATGTTTGGAGAAGGAAAAGCTGTTTTATTGCGGGGAAAATGGACAAATATTCATTCAAAGAACAAGCACAGACGATAACAATAACCTTTATTAATCATATATTGACGGAAATGTTTACTTATCTTGTGTCCGTGTTCCCTCGCTGTTATAATGCAAACTTTTTCTTCCAAAGGTCAAAKGGTTTGAATTGCCGGTTTTCACATGACGTCATCAAAACCTAAACTATAGATCGTATAAAGACATTTCTCAGGGTTATAAGTCACAAGAAAAAATGTCGAGTCATTTCGATGTTTTGTTCTCGAGTTATGAAAGTTGAGTTTGTGTCACGCAATACCGTCACGTCTATCTAAATAGCGATCAAAATAGTAAAATAATTAACTCTAGTTAAAAGATTTTCCCTTAGACACGTTTTAAAGATCTATTTAAGGTATGCGGTCCACATATTCTCATCTTTGCATCCTAATTACCGCTACCCAACATCTATTTCACCCCGGCCTGCTCTCAGTCTGACCTCTAGCTCAGCTGGTAGAGCATCGGTAGTACAATTCCGAAGGTAGTGGGTTCGATTCCCAGCGAGGTCGGAAATTAATTTTTCCGAATTTAATTCTAAGGGATTTCGCCCGGAATAACCTCGTTCCCAAGCACTAACTTATCTATATTTCTATATCTTCATTTATTTAAGGTATATTTAAGTGAAATATAGTCAAAAATAACTCAAAAACTCAATCATCTTATTAAGCCTTTGGAATTTCGTCCGCCATGATGGTGTACCAACACCAACTTGGAACACCAAGATGGCCGCTCCATACATTTTAACAAAAAATTGCGTCATGTTTACTCGCCTCTAGTTCCGCAACGAAATGCTTTACAGCCTTAAAAYGTGGCCAGAATATGTAGTTTTGACCGCTTTACAAGATTATGAAACTTTTATTTCATTATAATGCGAATTTCCGCTTTTGAAATTCATGATGACGTAGGTGAAAACCAAGAATAGACGATGAGCGTTACCTCTTTAACGGCCGTTGTACTTGACTCTGTTTGTCCTTACGTCAGTAATATTCAACCGTCCTAGAGTTTTGATTAACCATATTAACTCTAGGACGRTTGAATATTACTGACGTAAGGAGCATCGCGCAGTCGCGTTGTTGTTGTTGGTACAAACAGAGTTAAGTACGTTAAAGAATTAAAGAAGTAACGCTCATCCGATCGCCTATTCAAACCATTTGACCTTTGGAAGAAAACGTCTGCATTATAACAGCGAAGGAACACGGACACAGGATAAGTAAACAAGTATATACGTTTAATTTATTCACATAATCNTCTCATCTTTGCATCCTAATTACCGCTACCCAACATCTATTTCACCCCGGCCTGCTCTCAGTCTGACCTCTAGCTCAGCTGGTAGAGCATCGGTAGTACAATTCCGAAGGTAGTGGGTTCGATTCCCAGCGAGGTCGGAAATTAATTTTTCCGAATTTAATTCTAAGGGATTTCGCCCGGAATAACCTCGTTCCCAAGCACTAACTTATCTATATTTCTATATCTTCATTTATTTAAGGTATATTTAAGTGAAATATAGTCAAAAATAACTCAAAAACTCAATCATCTTATTAAGCCTTTGGAATTTCGTCCGCCATGATGGTGTACCAACACCAACTTGGAACACCAAGATGGCCGCTCCATACATTTTAACAAAAAATTGCGTCATGTTTACTCGCCTCTAGTTCCGCAACGAAATGCTTTACAGCCTTAAAAYGTGGCCAGAATATGTAGTTTTGACCGCTTTACAAGATTATGAAACTTTTATTTCATTATAATGCGAATTTCCGCTTTTGAAATTCATGATGACGTAGGTGAAAACCAAGAATAGACGATGAGCGTTACCTCTTTAACGGCCGTTGTACTTGACTCTGTTTGTCCTTACGTCAGTAATATTCAACCGTCCTAGAGTTTTGATTAACCATATTAACTCTAGGACGRTTGAATATTACTGACGTAAGGAGCATCGCGCAGTCGCGTTGTTGTTGTTGGTACAAACAGAGTTAAGTACGTTAAAGAATTAAAGAAGTAACGCTCATCCGATCGCCTATTCAAACCATTTGACCTTTGGAAGAAAACGTCTGCATTATAACAGCGAAGGAACACGGACACAGGATAAGTAAACAAGTATATACGTTTAATTTATTCACATAATCRAAAGGAAAAAAATAACTTTAGAAATCCGACTACGTTCGGTGTCCTAGTGCCCTTGGCTTAACGCAGTTAACGATAAATAATCTTCAAAAAGTTCCAGGTGATCTCTAAAATGTGCCAGGCGTCGCGCGCGGAAGGCGAATAGAAATCCATCCCATAGAGCTTTGCGCGCAAAAACGTGTCCCGTGATTGATGATTCGAAGTCCGCCATTGACGTTTCGATGTTGATAAACGAAAAAGTTTTGCAATTGCCCAAACGCAAAGGATCRTGTAACCCTGAACTAATAAAAGAGAAATTGAATGTAAATTGAAGTATTTAATATTAATGAGAACTAAACAAGTTATGCACTATCATATTCCATTCACATTCCAACGTGAGTCGTGCTTTTCTCAATACGATCCTTCAGCTCTTGGACTTCTTTCTCTGACGTCATTTCTACTTGTTGCTTCATGTCTTGATGTCCTGATGACCTATTAAAGATGTCCACTGT